TTAAGGAGGAGTTTCATTAGAAATGTTGAGTGTTTGTTTTCTTCGCTTCGCTGAAGAGGAAATAAGATGTAAAGATGTAAAAATAGAGCATACATGCGTATCTGGCTTGCAAATTTCTCTTTTTTTTGCCAGCACATCTTTTTCTCTCCAAATACAAGAGTAGAGCACCTGCACCAACATGTGACAGAGTCTCTGCTGATGGTAGCATAGGAGATCAGAGATAAGAGAAAGTTTGTTTCATTTGCGATGAGTAATGATGTGGGACACAAGTTGTTATTAGGCAATAATGTTATTAATAGTAGATATAAATCAAAATCTTTATTCAAATCTCATTTAAAATAAACATGACTTCAATACATTTAGAAATCAAGAATTATTTTACTGACACAGTCATACCAACTCATTCATATTTATTCATACTACTTTATTCAAAAAGTGCTAAAGTTAGTTACCAAGTGTACTTTGACAATAGATATTTCCAGCCAGCTCACTCAAGTTAAGTCTGTGCATGAAAAACTAAGCTTCATCTTCCATATAGTATCCAGCTTAGTTGGAAATCAGACTAATTTTCTTGATTAAGAGCTCAACAAACAAATTTCCAGAATCCAAATGAATGGATGAAAACACTTAAAAGCAAATGTTTCACCTTCCAGGGCTCATCATAGATGTGATCAAAGATTTGGATAGAACAAAGAAGACTTTCAAATTTTTTTTAAGATTGTTTTATGTTTACATTTTCTTTTTTTTTATTTAAAAGCTGTTAGTTTCATTTGAAACAAGGGAAACTAACTAGCACTAAGCTTAGGGGAGTGTAACATGCTGTTAAAGTGTTGGTGCAGGAGACAAATTGTCGCTGGTGAATTTTGGGCAGAAAACCATATTTAGTGAGAAAGATGAAGACAGCTTTGGAGAGCTCTTTAAAGACAGGTGTCTTTGAAAAAAGGAGGAATTCATCTCCTATTGGATGAGATACTTAATCTCATGTATGTATCAGCGTGGCTGATATATCAACCACAGTTGGCTATTTGGTATCTGCATCCATAAATGAGAATCTAAAAAGCAGATATGGGAGAAAGTTGACAACAAAACAAGATTATTTTTAAACTGCGTTGTCATATTATGTTTTTATTGAGTCATAACTACACATAACAAAAGTCGTCTGACACAGTATCAGTCAGGCTCTGATTAGCAACACCTTATAGTCTGAATTCAACTTCACACGTGCATGCTCTTTACATAACGGTAGCAATAATGTAAAAACATTGCGTTCATGCAGAAGGGAACGTTTGCCTTGGAGTTTCAATTCGATCCTGAGTGATGCCTTTCAGCCATCCTAATGAGTTTACATCACTCCATGTTTTATCTGGCTTGCTGCAAGGGGAGACAGTCTTAATGGTTACCCTGTGTTTTTTCTTGTCAAAGCGCGTTTTCTCCTTTCTTTGTGCCAACTGAAGTTTCTAGAGCTTGGTGAGTCTCCCAATCTGTAATTAGTGCCAACCATAAACAACTGGAATCCTGCTGAGCACTGCCACGGGTGGCTGCCCTCACCACGGCAATCTGGAGTTTCCCTTTTGTCCTTGGATGTGTCAGATGTAGAGCCAGCTTCCCACCCTGGGAGTTGAACAGTGGGCCCACTGTATTTAGAGAAAGAGAAAAGAAAGCCGGGGAGTTTAGAAGGAACATAGATCGAGAAAAATGTATAAATACTACGAAAGCAAGACAATTGAAACATCTCACATTAGGCCTGTGATAACAGGATTTTATTAAGCAGCATGGAAGACGTCAGGCTCCCTTTCTGTCCTCCTGCAGAATCGCATTTAAATATAGTGACCGATGCCATCTAAATACAATGCAAGGCCCTGACTCTTGGATCGGATCTGGTGCTTTTTCTGCCCTGGCTCTAAGATGCCCATTAATGACATCATGGTTAATGTACTACTTGGTAGCACTCCATTCCAGCTCATTGTTTAGCATTGCATGGTTATTCTTTCACACATATTACATCTACTCAGTCACTTGTCACAGTCTGCTTAGGTTACAAGATGCTTGAGTCATGACATAATCCATTTACCAGAGAGACGGAGTGGCTGGCTGATGCTGAATGAGGTTGGAGTGGGGGGGTTTTGTTTTTGTTTTTTTATTCCTGGTGAATGCATTTAGCACTATCCAGTGACTGGATTTGAGCCTCATTTTGCTCAAATATTTCCTCTGAGGGTCATGGTAAAGTTGTTATCTTATGAACAGGGTCTTGGCCTGAAGATATATTCTGTGGACCATAGCAGTCAGCTGCCCGTCCTGTGACTTCCTCGCCTATTTACCCTGGACATACAGCTAATAGAAACACATGCAAGAAAGGGACAAACATCTGCACATCCCATGAAGACAACAGAACCTTATTTTGAATGTTAAACTCCTTAAAACTGAAATCAAGGCTTTAACATGTCCTTTGGTGTTTTATTTGTATGATATTTGAGTCCACCCTGTTTCCCGGGATAGGTGTTTTGTGAGGGGTGACAATGCACACAAGGTTCTTTGTTCAGCATAAAGTGAAGGGTAATTAATACCTGTTAAACACAGATAAAGAAGGCAGGGTTTTTATGTATAACAGACCTTGGGATGCATGAGTTTGTCACAGAAACAGCGAGCTGAGCAGAGCAGAGGAGCCTCATGATGATAAAATCCTTTTGAAGTTTCTCAAGTTTCCCACCACAATTTACACAATGAAAGTTGTCTTTTTTCTAAATGTGAGTACATTCTGTGAATTCTGTCACCTTGCGGTTTAGGAATAAGCACTGGGGTTTCCTCTTATACTACAAAAAACCAAACCCTACTCCCTTCAGCCTTGTTTATTCTTCTAGCAGTAAACCTAAGAGTGGGGACGAGCCAAACTTGGGAAAAATAGGCAAATTCATTGAAAATTAGCAAGTCGACTTTTTCGAGATGTGACTTCATCATTACTTCTGTTGTTGCAGGGTGGGATCAAAATCTTCCCCGTGGTACTGAAAATGTTTTTTTTAGTATTTTCCTGCGTATCGGTATTTTAGCATCATGGCAGCCCTCATAGCTTTACACTCCGTGTCTCTGTAAATCAAATACTTTTGCAGTGATCCTGTTCACAGGATTGCTGTAAGCTATCATGCATGTGTCTTTAAAACTTTGCATTTCTGTTCAGAGACCATAATGTCATGTGTGATATGGGGGGTAGTAACACGCTAAGCCCTTGATTCGGGTTCTGTTGAGTTTGGCATGTTTCGTTCCCATAGAGATTTCTTTTGATCAAACGGGCTGCTGAACATGCGAGTTGTCATGTCAGAACCTGTTACAAATCCTACTCTCGACACAGCAGGTCGATTCAGCCTTTCAGTTTTGATCTTAGAGTAACGATTTCCCAAACGTTATACATGAAAGATGTCCATAGCGCAATCAGCCGCTAGTAATTCATCAAAGTTTGCAGAGCCATTACAATATAGGCACAGAACAAGCAGTGGGTGCAGTAGTGCTGTTGGGATGCAATAAAACACTTTGCAGTGGCAGTAGCCTAGTGTGCTCAGCTCTGTATCTTGCCTCATTACCATTGCTTAACTGCCATAAAGAGTTGTGCAGCTCCTTGTGTCTGTCTGCCTTGTAGAAACACTGTAGTGCCCTGCCGATTAGAGCCAGAGGAAAGAAGTGTTCGAGCATAAACCCGGGGAGAACTGACCTTTTTAAATTCATATGTGGAGCACTTCCCCCTGACTTCTTATGCAACTTGTCACGCTTATTGAGACTTGTGGCATCTCAGACTCAGTTTCTCCTTCATTGTCCCTCTCATACCTTACAATTTAAAAATACTGCAAAGAGTAATGACTATTAAAAAAAAGTGGCTTAATTCCTAGTATAAATGTTCACCAAATACTTGTGGGTACTCCCCAATATTGACACATTCCCAGTACTCACACCTGCCGACCTCCCCCACCCTCTGCCAATATTAGTGTTGGATTATACATTAAGGGCCTAGTCATGTTTAGCAAGTTGACCCTCTTAAAACAAAACAAACAAAAAAAAAAACCTTTCAGTGTAGACTCCCCAGCCCCCAACTCTAACAGTTTAGAGCCACTAGCAGAGGTCTGCCCTAACAATTCCTTATATAGCTTGGTTTCTTGCCTGAGCAGACTACATTATAAGTGGGCAAATCCAAAATGCCATGCCTACAGGGATGACTTTAGGGCAGGGGAGTGGTTCATGTCTAATTTCTGTTGAGTCATGGCTTTTAAAGAGAAATCAGGATGTGATGTGTTGTGGAGAAGGGGTTTGGATTGGCTTAGTCTGTTGGCATAATTAATGCGAGCTGAGGTTTGTGACTGGTTGATATGAATGCGTATGGAGATTATGACACACCAAGAGGGAGCGGTGTTTTGCCAGCCTCATTCCAAGCTTGGTGCTTTGTGGACAGGCACTGACCACAAAGCACAAAGAAGATATTTTATTACTATGTCTGATTGCTCCTACTATTGCTGTTATTAATTATATTTGCCCTTGTTGAGTAGAGCACTTCTTTATTTCTTGCCTTAGACTGTGTGTTGGTGCTTTTAGTGAAAAAGCAGGATAGCGGTGAGAGTCCTGCCTCCTCTTAAGAGATTTTTTAGGTTAGTTTTATCTGTAGTTAAGATGATGAAGCAGCTCGCGCTCCGCGTTCCCTCCCCCAGCATTATTAACCGTGCCGTCGCTCAGCGCCGTACCGGTCTCTTGAAGAGAAAAAATTATCTGTGAACTCTTGATTTCCAAACTTTTCAAACTGCACAATTGTCGTTTCTTTCTAGTGGAACTCAGACTTTATCAAAATAAAGTTTTTGTTCTCAACTTGTGTTTTTTTTCCCCTTAGTTTTTTGTCATTTTGAAACAGAAATCAATTTCACGAGCCTATATACAGGATCTGACTTGTCAAAGGAGCTTACTGGGCTGCGTGATGATGACATTAAGCTGACACCTGTCTTCTTTTCTCTTGCTTTTCCTTTGTGCAGGAAAATTGCTTCCAGACGACCTTTGCCTTTTTCTGAAACACCACTGCTTTTGTCAGCCTCAGAATACTTCAGCCCACGCGGAGCCACATAGCTGGGCAGGTAAGCTAAGTCTTAAGTTGTTGTTTTTTTTTACTTACTGTCATCTGCTGGACTCCATTATTGATTATATTGGAACTGCGTTTTCAGTTTGTTTTAGTCTTTTTTCTTGGACACTCTGTACTCTTCTACTGAAGTGTCCATTTTGGGGGGTTGGAAAATATTGCTGATCCTGGCAAGTAAATACCATTTATACATGCATTATGTTGGGCTGTACAAATAAATTGTAGCAGATCAAAGTAGCAAGAGTAGAGCTTAAATATCACCAAGTCTGGTAAGAATTCCTTATTGACTTAGAATTAGCATCTCCAGCCCACCTGGAGAGAGTTGTATTGATGTAATAATCTTTCTGATAGCTCTGACTCAACACTGTATCTAGAGCAGGGGGGTCAAACATAAGGCCTCAGGGCCAGAATTGGCCTGAAACAGACACCAATCCAGCCCACCGGGTGGCTTTGGGAAAATAAAAACAAAACCTGTTTTACAGTTGAAGGACAGTCTGGGCAAAAGCATGCCAGGACTTTTCTCTGTAGTCGTGCTAACAGATTTCTTTCATTTACTACAACAGCATTTCTTTATCATGTTCAAAAACTGAGACATAATGTTGAAACTGTAACTCTTTTGCTTATATTAGGATATCTCACGGATTAAATGTGTAGTTAAACTTCCTTACCCTGACAGAAAGGGGAGTTTCACTGGTCCGACCCACTTAAGATCAAAGTAGACCGTGTGTAGCCCACAATATCCAATGGGTTTGACATCCCTGATCTCGAGCAAACGTGGTTCATTATAAGTGGGGTTAGACGTGCTCAAACAGGTACGCCATATTGTGTGCTTCAGTTTTTGCGCTCAGTGCCTGGGCTGATGTTTAATAGTGTCTTTGTGTGTGTGGCCCCACCATAAAACTTCTCTTCTGTGGCCAGTATTCTCATGCTGACACAGAAGTGCCACATAAAACACAAATTTTTCAAACTGTGTAACATTCTGACCCTGGTAACTCGGCTCCTATGAGTATGGGTGTGTTTATGTGTAGCTTAGTGTAAGTCTATCCACAACACAGCTGTATTTGAGTGAAACACGCCCATCCCAAGTCTTACTGAGAGGCCCGGCATGCATCACACTGTGATTGTACACATGACCAAGGGAAGAGGTCAAGAACATGTCCGGGCATATTTCTTTTTTTTCCCACCGATTCCCAGGGCTACACTGAAAATCAATGTTATTTTGAGTGTGACGGTGAGGAAGTTTTCAAGTTCAAGAAGTTTTGGAAAATTTTTATTAGTAGTTGACCTATGTGTTAAAGATTGTCTCCCTTGGCGTTTAATTCAAGCTGTGTCCAAGTTATTCAATTGATATACAGCCATTCCTTTCAGCATTGGCTCATTTTCCTTTTTCTGGGAAGTGATTTCATCTTTCCTGACTTCATGACTTCATGAGTGTTGGTATTTCAAAATTGTAGCTTCACATCATCAACAAAGCTCTGGCAGCTATTTTTGGACATTGTGTTTTTGTTCTTTGGTACCTATTGCCATCTCTACTTTGACAACTTGGACTATTGTTGTGTTGTCATAATAAGGCTCTTACTTGTTATTTCTGTTTTGGATTTCCACATTAGCCATATATATTTTTCCATGTCCTTTGTTTCTGAGCTTTGTGATTTGATACAAATTGTCTGGTGTGTCTTACAAACATAAATTCTTCCGTTAACTGCAACAGCAGTTCAGTTTTCTCTTTGCACCTTTATTTTTTAAACAGAGTGTTTCATTGTTTAATGGTGGCAGATTTTAGAAAATCAGGGTAGTTTTTCTTCAGCTGTTATAGTAAATGAATCTAAAATGTCATAGTGCCTGGTCTTAATGGATGCCTTAGCAAAATTCTACATTTGTTTTGAATTTAGATTTTTTTTTTTTTTTTTTGGTAGAAGATTAGTGTGCATTTTGAAATGTCTTGACAGTCCTTTGTCTCTGTCTAGGCTAGTCACGACTCAGGATCTCATCAGTAGATCCCAAATCATCTAGTCTTACAGAGGATCAGAGAATCTTTAGGGAGGGGAAAGTTGAGAGGCTTGGATTTTACATAATTGTCTTCTAAACGCTGATTCGCTGATAATGTGGCCATTAATCTGATTGAAGTATCTAAATGAGGGACACACACTGGACTTCCTGTGGGGAACTTCATTAGTAGTTTTTGAGGAAAATGGGGGGTTGTGTACGATAATGATTATCCATGAATATGTAGCAACAGATAAGTCTGCTGGATATTGCAACTTTATAGTAGAGATAGGAATTATGCATTTATGCATGTCTGAATCACCACTTGGTCATTTTGCTGGGAAAAATAGAAGCAGTGATTTATTGAAAGATGCGCAAACATGCATGGAAATACACTATAGAATGAGATGTATCTCTCAGGTCTGTGTTAGGTCTGCATCTGCTGTAAATGGCTTTTTAGGCCTCTCACTTCTTTTTGTTCATATTTTTAAGGACACACTCCACACAATTCAACATTTTTGGCTAATAGCTCAACAAGGATCACCTTGTCGGTGCTATTTCTGTCAAACAAATTTATCTTTTATATTTTTAATGCATTCAACTAAAGATGGGGGGGTAAATGTGTTTTTTGCAACAGGCTGCTAGTAATAAGGCGCCTAAGGAGACAACTGGTTCTTTACTCAGTTGTCTCTTATGTGTAGACACAACACTGGTTCATTTATTGAGATAAATGCCTTTTTTATGCTTGAACAATTCATAGGACAGTGTTAAGTAATACAACAAATTAAAAAAAAAATAACAACATTCCTTTGAAAATAGTCAGGTACAAGGTATACTCTTGTAGATTCAGAACTTCAACATTTAGTGAAAAATCAACTGCAACACCCTCAATCTGACTTTGACTCCATCCTGCTGGCTTACTTGCCTCAATTTCACATCTCCAAGAGGTTTGTGTGTGCCACAAGTACAATTTAAAAAAAGCTATAGCTATAATATTCCTTGTGAAGTTTTGTTAGTTCCCCAAAGAGTCTAGCTAAAGTCTAGTCTAGCTAAAGCAGAGGAGTTAACTGGGAATTGCACGCTAACATGATTTATCTGGGGTTCTACAGATTCGTTATTCTCTGAGCGTTAGCAGAGCTGCTGGAGATAATGTTAATTTCCAATTAATAAAGCGTGCTTAGTAGTAGGAACTGGGCATGAAAAATATAAAAATGTTCAACTTTTTAAAGTTTAAAAGTTTAAAGAAATGAAAACAAGTATACACAAGTATAAAGTATGGTCTCAGAAGCTGTGAACACAGGTGAATTAAAATACAGATTTTGTAATGGCATCTCGATACAAACCCTCCATAGATGTAATCTTTGAAATTCTTTAGTTTTCCCACAACAAGACCTGCTATGCAGAGGTTAGGTATTTTGTTTTTATGCCTATCCTGGCAGCAGTTAAAAATTAGTTAATTAAGAAGACATTAAAGCTTTAAGAAACAAATTGTAAACCCAAATCAAGCAAATATATAAATAAGACAGCTACAAATTAAAAGAAGTTAGATCCCGTTTTTAGTTGGAAAGTCAATTAACTATGTGCGATTAATTTTAGCTCTGTCTGTTGCATAATGCTTATGAAATTGCATACAGTATCTTCATCTGAAGACATGACTGGTATCAGTGCTGACCTGAAGAAAAAAAAGATTTGGGTTCATGCTAACACTTTTGAATGTTCGATTATCCTGTAGTGAACAGAGGCCAAGTGTCGTTTTGAGTCCCTGAGGAGTTTCTGAGCTCTCTGAAAGTAAATCTACATTGGCTTGGAGTACACATGTATAGATCCAGTGGCTGAAGCTCTCAAGTTGCTCACCTTATTGATTGTTGCATTTCCGCACTGAGGTTTCTTGATAAATGGATTAGAATGTATTCTGCACTTTTTTTTTACTCTGGACTTACCACTCAACAATATTCACTAAAGTGCCCTTCCACCATCTTTCAAAGTAAACAATGTCAAGTTTTCCCATTAGGTCTTCCTTCATAAGGTTTAAATCCATTAAGCCACCAAATGATCTAACTTCCAGGAAATGTATTGAGGAAGCAGAGGCGAAGGAGCTAAAGCTATTCTGTCCTTTAAGTCCACCATGTCACTGGAGTCGAGGTCAACAGAGATCAATAAATTAATAGGCCTCTAGAACATTTATTCCCATCACACTCCTCCCTGCCTCTCTTTCAGTCCCTCACTCTACCTCACTAAGTAGACCTTGGAAGCAGGCAGCTGTTGGAGTTCCCATCAGTGAACAAAGCGAGCACGAATGAATTTCACAAAGGGATTCACAGATGTCTGAAACATTAATATTAAATGATCTGTGGGTCAGCTCTCTACTCCATTTCTTTATCTATTATTAAGTGAGTATGAAAGTCTTTGAGGGTCAATATTAAGAATGTAAAGTAAACTTGAAAATGAAGATATAATTCTACCACACAGTGTTTTAACTCCATTTGTTTGCACATTTGAGTAAGAAATAAATCACATACTCAAAGTTAAAAGCTGTTTCACATTTATATTAAAATATTATAACAGTATTGTACAGTGGGATCAAATTTTTTGTCAAACAATTTCATTGTCGAGTTTATGTCATCATTATCAATAATCTGTAAAAACTGATAACAAAGGGATAACCAAATCCCAAACCTTTTTTTTTCTTTTTCTTTTGAGTCACTCATTATTGTCTTTTTTTGCTTGTTTTTTGGGGGTTTGGGTTTTTGTTTTTTTGTTTTTTAGTAGTTATTGGGATCTTGAAATTGTCTACCGGAGTTAAATTCATACAGTAATAAAGCACAAAACATAGTAATCTCTCAGCTAATAAATCAGTCCATTAATTGGCATTCCAAGTAAACTTGCCACGTGTTGTGAAATCTTTCTTCCTCACCTTGAAATGACGTCAGATTGGCTTTTGAACCTTTGAGTCCCAGTGACACTTTGATTCATTTAGATGGACTGGGCTGGTCAAAGAGGAGTGGGTGGTAG